CGTTTGGCACTCCGATACAACTGTCACTGTGATACAAACCCACGGCATACACAAATTCCTATACGAGAAACATGGACCGGCCCTGAATCAACGTAGTGGCCCACTAGCAGTTTAGAACAGCTGAGGTCTTGCACCTTTGCACCCCTTCGGCAGACCTGGGTGGTTTCCCAGTCAATCCTATCCCCAAAACACGAGGACAGAAAATTAACTAATGATTCCAGCAGATTTCTTCTTTGGAAACATTTCAAAGCAATTTGAGAACATGGAAGCCAAAATCAAGCCTGAAAAACACCACAGACTCGCTGTAAAATACTCTCTTTTTCTCCTGAGATTTCTACTGTTGCTTTCCATAGCTTGTCAAGCAACTCCCCTTCAGATTTAGCAAAGTATCTGCAGTTCTCATTCATCACGAGTCTCAGAACTGAAGCACTCCAGCTGCTCCAGGGCTATACCCTTCAAGGTGATCTTGCTGTGATGTTATACTTGCCTGTTGTTATGACCTTGGCTATTTTTGACAAAGAGATAAAGATGAAATAGGTTCTTGCTCTTAATGACAGTTTGTACAAAACATCCTTTACAAGGAAAACTGTTACCCATATGTGTACATTACTGATCAGCCTATGCCAGGCAGCAATATTATAATCTCTCTCCCCCAGGTGACATGGTATGAAGAAAGATGATTTGGCATTACTATGCCAACATTTCTTTAATTACACTTTGGGCAAGTACTACACTTTCTCCCGAAACTAACAGCAAAGCAAACATTTTGAAAACCACTTTATTTTTTCATTACAACCCCTGTGTTTGTTTACTCTGAAATTTCTCAGACTGCCACACACAATTTTGGAAGGTTCTCGCTTTTAATTCAAGGCTCTTGCTCTGAACTTTCTTTTTCCCACCTGTTGTCCACTCCTTTTGAATTCTCTTCCAACCAGAAAGATTTCTGTGATCTTCCCTGCAATGAAGAATACTCATGAGAGTAAAAATGGTCTTCGATAATATTGCCCGTTGAGTGTTAGCATTTTGAAAGAAAGACCACCTTATCCCTTACAGACCTGACGAATTCAGTGAGATGCTTGTTCAGATTTCACTGACGTATTTTTAGCTGTTTCTTCAAAACTGACTCAGCAACTTCCTTAAACACCGGCTTAACTTAAAGCAGATAAAAAGTCCTGCTCGTGTGTCAAGTTAAGGACATGCTTAAGTGCTTTGCTGGATTGGGGCCTAACGGCTTGCAAATACAGATGGCTATTATCAAGACCCAGAAGAGGCCAGGTAACCACCAACAGTCAATTATATTCCTACCAGAACTTCAAGCCAGTATATCATACTGTTTGAAGTTAATTGCTTTGAAATAATTGGACAGGTGAGCAGGTAAGTTCACACAGAGCATTTGCAATTTTCCTTTGTATTTAAAAAAAACAACAGTGCAGATTGCAGGGACAAAACAGGCATGATTTTAATAAAACAAGTTAAAAGGGAAAGGAAAAGGTATGGGGCTTTTTAAAGACTCTTCCTTTTAATTTTTAGCATCATTAAAACCTTGAAAACATTTCATTCAAGAGCTTCTTTAGTTAATACCTCATTACTTCTCTTTTTATTGTTATGGTAATCAAGCCTTAATATATTGCAGCTTTATAGCATGAAATCAAGGCTAGGCCTGCGGGCATCAACAGATGTACAACAGCATGCAGTAAAACACAGGTATAGAGGCATGCAGAGCCGAATATGGCACAGGGTTTTTTTTATAATTGTTTAGCAATTTATCTGAAGTTATTTTAACCTTGACAACAGATGAACTCTAACACGTACCATGATCGGTCACTGGGAACCTCCACCAAACAGCAAGTTTTGTGATTGCTGTCTTACAGGCTGAGTTTTAGGAAAGCATGAAACAAAGTCTGAGAAAGATGATTAAATTGTTTGGATGACTACAGGCTGTAGCTGTAACTATTCGAAACATTTAATGAGTATAGTCTAGCCAAGGGAGAATCATAACACTGGGAAACTGCATGTACCACCAAAACCTTGCCTTCCCATAGGAAATTCGTGCTCAGTGTCAGAATTCATACCCTCTCCTGCCATAGGCAGTCTTTGCGGCACACCAAAGAAGAAAAACATTCGGATCTGACTTCTGGTTTTGAAGTGACACTTGGACCTTGTGCTGGAGCTCTGCTTATGGTTGAATTTCACCCATCAAACCAAATGAAAGTTATACATAATTTTTAGAAAGTTCTAACGGTCTCATCTGCAGGGTGTTGAAATACTATGTCAAAAAGAGTGAGTGTCGCTGGATCTTTTCCAAGTAAACGACAACAGACAACCCCCAGTGTCAGGTAGGCTCCACTTCTCAATATTGTTTCAGGAGAAATCAGTCAGGAAACAATTACTGCTCCTGTGAGATTTTCTAAATTTAAAGGGAGTGTTTTGGCTAGCAAATCCTTTCCCAGAAAATAGTTCCAAATAGCCAACACTAAAAGCAATATGCCTGTGACTTAATAAAATCACTGATAGCGAGGACCGTACAGGAAACTGTGGCCCCACGGGGAGTGGGGTGGCAGGCACACGGCCAACAGCTCCAGATTATCCATCAGCGCGCAGCCCTACAGGGCCAGCCATTCAGAAACAGCCAACAACCGATACCTGTCGCGGCAAACATGCCACCGTCGTAGTAGCCACCCAATATTAATGAAGTAATAGGAAGAAAGTAGGCACAGATAATACATTATTCCAGCAGAAGTGAAAAATGTTTTCTACCTTATTACTGGAGAACAGTAAGATACGACTCAATACGTGCATCGTCAATATATCTGAAAATCCCGGTTAATCTCAGTTAGGCAAAGGCTCCCAGCTTCTCTCCTCCCTCTTGGAAACACTCGAGTAACAATCGTACTGTATTCAGCTGATATCTGTTCTATACCTTTTTAATTTAAACAAAGTCTCCTAACAATAAAGAAGCCAGTCATTCAAATTTCTAGCGCCAGGCATAACGGTGAGTAGCTCTCAGCTGCAGTAAAAGCTAACTTCTGCAAGGCCAATCACGCTTACAAGCGTGACATTGGACAGTGCTTGTCAGATCAGACCTTAGGACAAGAATGCATGTTGCCCAGCATATAATGAATGGAATGAAAGACAATGGGCACTATAGTCCAGCAAACACACTAATTATATTAATAAAATGAAAGCTTAAATTTTGAAGCTAATCCTGGGCTATCATTTATAAAAGTTAACAGGGTATATTTAATTTAGGAATTGGCTAACGCTTCTCTTTCCACCGCTGAAACCTCATAAATGAAATATACTGGATTGCTGCCCGGTGCGGAAATAAAAGTTATGAATAATGTTTCTATCTCAATCATTGTCAGTGCTTTAATATTCCTAATTACTTTAAAAAGCTAAATATTCAATATAGGAAAAACCTTCTTTTTCTTCGTATCTTCACTTGCAAGATTAGTGCAATTTAATAAGAGTCACTGGGTAGTTTTAGTCCACGAGACCATTCTGTACTTGGACATCTTATCCTTTCATCTTCATTTTTACAAAGAATGGAATGCTTGTTACCGTGTGTATGCATGTGTGAGCAAATGTATACATCTACATGTGTATGTCCACATTGTCACAGTATTTTTTTTATTGTTATTTTTAACTTCTCTAAGTGCACATGCGCTGTATAAATGCTCACTGGCTGTTAGGTTAAACATATCTATTACTAAAAATAACCAAAGGATAGAACGAGTTCCTGAGACTCTATATGACACTTTACAATTGAAGGTATTATTTTTATTTTTTAAAATATTGTTATAGATAGATATTCAGTATGTTATGCTGCCCAATTTTTCCCTTGTCTACATGTCAGGTAATCCCGAAAGCTTGCTTCAAATCCCAAAGCATGGCCCTTCTTTCTGTCCCTCCTCCATGCTCTCTCCCTGATGCCTTTTCTGGGGTAACTCAGGACACATCAGCAAGGCTGCAGACAAGACACCAGTAACTTGACCAGAGAAGACTCTGCCCCATTGACTTCAGCCTCTGGAGGTGTTTATCCCCAGTCACATTTAACTCCTATTCTAATGCCTCCCTTTATAGATCCCTTTCCTGTTAGCTTTTTTGCCTGGCAATGATGCCTCTTTTTTAAGATCCCAATCAATTTGGGAGAAAGGGAGGAAGTAAAAGCAAAATGAAACGTTCATTCAGTAAATGACTCACAACATCTTTCTCGATGCAGCTTTATTTACTTGCCTGACGCACAAATAGACTTCATTTAACAAGCTTATTTCCGTTATGTCAATAACGTATTGGGCCCGTGTTACATAACAGCTCTGATGTTTGTACTGGAAAGAACGCTGGCCGTTTCATTCCAGCATGAGCTAATCACTTAGACTTAAACTTATCATTACCAATTAAGAGAGTTTGACATACATACACAGCTTCCTCAGCTGAAAGAACTGAAAGCCTCAAGTGTGAAGTAACTTCCTAGTAAAAGGTGCAGAACTCCCACCTCTGCCATTTCCCCAACCCATGCAGTATGGATAATTTAGGGTGTGGATTTCGAGTCAGAAGGTAGAATCTGGGCTGCATGAAGAGTCAATGGCAGAACTCCCACTGGCTTCAACAGGACAAGGATTCTGTCTAGAGAGTGCGCTTTCCAAAGTACTCCAAGTACTCCACAATGTATTTAATGAAGAATGTTTTGTCGTAAAGATTTAAGAGAGAAAAATTTCTTAATGCAGTTATATTATCTATATTGGTATTCCAGGAACAGGAGTGAAAGCATTAAGAGCATCCTCCACTGCATTTAACATTTCTTTGTAAAAACAAGCAAAAAAGGTGAAAGTCATTATCATAGGAAAGGGTATTATCACATATTAACTGTTGCAAAATAACCAACTGACAATCTTCATTTTTCCACTTAAAGCATCCAAGTTCTAAGACCACTGCTTTATTTGAGGGCTTATTTTAATAGCAGCATACATCTTTATCACACTTTTGTAATCTTTACTCACCACTGGAGCAGTCAGTACCTCCCCATCCTGGTTCACAATGACAAGTGTCAGGAGAAACACACCTTCCATGCACACACTCCTCTGTGCAGAGTGCTGTTAAGAAGAAACAATACACAGCATTGTAAATATAGTAAGTGGCTGGTAAACATATACTAAACTGTGCCTTAGAGAACAATATTTCATTTAAAAATATTAAACAAAGCAAACACACAAAAAAGAATTACTTGCAAGATTTAATTAATACTAAGTGACCAAAATAAAATATAGGTCTCTTGACAGCGATAAACTCATTTGTCACTTCAGCTCTTTGTAATGAAAATCTCTAACACCAGAAATTACTTTGGTTAGCAGTTTTGCTTCATAATAAAATTTTTACCAAACTGACACATTATTATTATATTACAGAATATCAGCTTCTTCTATTGCACTCAAGTTGCTACTGTTCATAAGAGAAAATGGAGCTCAGTTTTTAAAGTATATTAAGATCCAAAATAGATTTGTAAAAAATAGCTCAAGGAAAAGAAACAATTTTACTACATCTTGCAGTAGCTCTAAATGCAGCCTTGTCTTTTCAAGGTCATCAAGTTTTCCAGAACTACAGTGTTCTATATCTTATTTGTCCACTGTTAGATTATTGGAAGTTCAATATCCTCAAGGTTCAAACTACGAAAAACTGGTTGGTTTTACCGTCTCACTTGTCAGTTCACTAGAGATGTACATGTACTCCTTTTCTTCTCCCTGAGTAGGAGCAGCTCATGGTTTTAAGACTTTTCTTCTCCGGTGCTGCTTTGGTGTCTGACTTTCCAGTGTATGCCGGTATGCCCATCACATACAAACAAATTTGGACAATACCGAATAACTAAAGGCTGAACCTTACTGCGTACTGCTTTATTCCCATTTTACCACTTAGGACATTGTGTGTCAGCGATTCAAACTGGATGGTTAAATTGGAACACACAATTTCCATCTAGACCAACATGTATGAGTTATTAACAAATATGATGGAGTGGCAATGAGGTCACTGTATTAATATATATATTTTATATATATCATATATATGATTTGTATCGTAGATAACCTATGTTTGCATACCCTGCATTTTTGTATCAGATGGGAAATGTGGGTATTGTGCTTACCTAACCAAGAACTGGCTGAAGCTGGACTACAAAAGACTTATTCCAAAAGAAAGATTAATTCATTCCTGTCTAAACCAAGGCCAGCAGAACTGATTTGGGAAGTAGCTTTGCATTGCTTTACTGAAAACTTGCTGAACTACCCAATTCACTTTCAATCAGCCAGCGAACCTTTTTAAAGTTGCACTGGGCCTGCATATGAAATGCCCTTTCAGTTCCCAGGTACCTCATGGGCCAAACGCTTTCCACCAACGTCTTGCACATTTGAACAATTCCGGCTGTATCTGACATTCTGTCTGGAGTACCAGATTGGATCACATCTTCAGTCTGCACTCAGGCTGGCATCAAAGTTGACAGAAATATTTTGCTTTCTGTTCTGTGTTTGGGTCATTGGAGACCAAACCCACTAAGCTATTCATAATATATTTAAATCCAGCCTCAAATCACAAGTGAACTTTGAATAATCCTATGGGACAAATCTTCCTGTTCTTTATCCGTCAAATCACACGTGACCAGCGAGGCAAATGTTGCCTCGTTATAACGACTGCAAGATCTTTCTAGTCATTTCCTTTCTAGGTTCACTGCACGTCAAAAGTGCAATTTATTCTAATTTCATATCTTGTGTTTAGACAGTATTGCAGGGGCCATGAAATATTGATAGCTAATTCTCTAGTCACTAATTGTCCTAATCTTTCGTGCATATATTTTACTTGAGTTAGCGTTTCTGAAGACAGTGAGGCATCCTAGTCTACAGCTGTAAGATGAAATTCAAGGCAGGGTATTAGAAAAACAGGATTTTCCAATAAAGAAATACACGCCTTCGTGCAACTGTTTAAAAATGGCTGGTTACCTATGAAAAGAAGTCCAAACACAGAACAGCCACAGGCTTCTAATTTGTTAGTAAAAGTACAATGTACTAAAAGATATACTATATGGTGGGATACGGACACTTTGAAAATTCTGCCCCATATAGCTTTAAGAATACGTTTCTCATTGATGTAACTCTTACATATTAGTTTTAGAAGAGGTATGGAAATCGAAACTGAGATTTTTCTGTTCCCTGTATGGACATTTACAAGAATAAATCATTCTTACATGTAAAACATGCAACTTTTTTATCCTTTTAACTAGGCCAGGTTCCCAGGTCAAGGCATAATTTGTGAGCAAGAAGCTTGACGGTGAACTATTTCTTTGTTCTTCCAACTAACAAAACTCCTGCTCATCACTGGTCTAAATTTAGTTGATTTAGCCACACAAAAATATCACACCTTAACTATGTTAACATAAATATGTAATAATAATGACTAATTAAGCTAATAAAGTTTACTTAATCACTTGTCAATGGACAGAAGTGCTGACTTCTGTAGTAGTGCTCCAGTCCCTTGGGAAGACTGCTATGAGAGACTTACAAGCCAGACTCAAGAGACTATTCCTAATTCTAAAGCAATCAGTGACACGCAAAAGACAAACAAGTGCTAGAAAGAACTGCATCTTTGGCTTTAGGTGTCTTGAAGCCCCACAGAGCTGAAGATGATAATGTTTAATGAGCAACTGAGTCGAGAAAGGTAAAGATGCTCCTTGGAACTGTGGGTTCTCTCATCTCTGGTTTATTAACTTAAACAAGCAGCTATGAGCTCACTAGCATATAGTCATTTGTGAAATCACACAGGAGTAATTCCATATGTGGGGGTCACAGAAATCCCTCTTTTTTAAAAGGGGAAGCTTTGATATAAGCCATTTTATTCAAGGAGGCAAATAATCAGGCTCCTGCACTGTCTGATTCGAATCAGGCCTATGAAGGTCCACATAAAGGTCATATTAGGGTACAACTCTAAAGTTTAACATAGCAAATAAAATTTTGAATTTCCTCTATAAAAAGGAAGTCTTGCCTTGCTCTAATCTTTAGACTTTAAATTAATTTTTCATTCTATTAACATTCAACATAATAGGATACAATGGTCCCCAAGGCATTCTTCATAATATACTTTGTACAGTGGTTTGCAAATGATCTTACTAGTTAATGGAACTATAAAAATTACTTGCACATAAAGGTCAGGAAAAATAAAGATAAGTATATACTTTCTGCCACTGTCCTGTTCGACACTCAGCTAAAGGCCCCTGGAGTAAAGAAAACTTGTACTAATGCAAGGAGTATAATTCCTCCCAGTATAATAGCCCAAGCAGTTCAACCTTTGGAATTCCAGACTTTTTATGTCTGCATTTTCCCTTGACCAATTCTCTTGAACAATCCAGCACCTCATTGATCAGTTTATTATTAGCATTCTTGGCATGAGTTTAAGATCAGTTTGTAGTTTGATTCAGCCTGGTAATAAAATGACCTACATCAAAGCCCTGCCAAAATGCCATCTTTGTAGCAATGCGTTTAGCATGAGCTATTTGGCCATATTCAAGGTCACACAGCAACTGCTCCTTATCGTGGAATAAAGTCAACAAAAGGGTTCTGCAACAATTCATTTGATGCTTATCACTTACTTTATAATCACAAACTGCTTTTTTAACATAAGGGATCAATCCTCAGGGAAATAGACCTAAAGATTAAATTCTTTTCACACCTGAAATAACTGCATAGATTTCTCTAACACTAGCACTTCTTTTTTTAATTGTCCTGAATTTAAATTTAGATATATTAAAGGGGTTGTCTATGTCTCCTGTCTACAAAGGTATGAAATAGCTGGGATGTTGTTATTGAGGAGGAGCAGACTCTTCCGCCTGGAGAATACTTCCATTGCAGAATTACTTCAGGTGAGTGGCACCGCAGTTAGTTTATCCCAGACAAAAGCAGCCACAGTCCAGGGATCCAGAGCTACTCTGTCTTCTTGGTGCTGCATTCCTCTGTGTGGACCCAAACTACAACTTTGCAGGTTTAACCCTGCTGTATCACGCTGTTTTATACACACTGTTATACCCTGCTACATTATCGACCCATTGACTACCTGTTCTCCATTAAGCAACATAACTAACACCTGCCACAAGTACCTTCTTAGCCTCTTTCCTAGAGGTGAAAGCTCATTTAGAGAAGAATTTCATTCTAAGGGAGTAAGTATGGAATGATTTTGCTTGGGAAAGTTTTATTAGCTTGTCCAAAAATATAACTTGTGTATTTATTTCACAAAAGGCAGAGTCAAAAAAATGTGTCGTGCTTGCAATGGAATGTGGTGCAAATGACCATTTGCAGTGGTCATTTGAACTTGGAGGAGTTCACAGCCACTGACCCAACAAGATCCATCTCCCTCCCACTTCAGCTCGTGGGACTTTATTGTGCTAGATAAGCAAAATCTCTTCAAAACAAAGACCAGTGTAATTGCAAAGTCTAAAGGAACCCAGTGCAGCAAGCAGAAAACAGGCTTCACGAACTGCACTCATTCATAGTGTTCCGTGTGAGCTAGAGTTTCCTAGGCTCTGCCGGCTTCCTGCCCAGGGATTGCAGCACAGCCAGGAGGTGACGGAAAGCATAAATATATGTAGATACATTATAATAGTGGAAAACATTGTTAAATGAAGATATAGATGCTACTATATGAGAACATAGATGCAATGAGAAATGCAGGCACTCTCCTAGAACTACATAGAATGAACTGGTCTATTCTGACTGCACATGTGGCAAAAGTACACTGCCCCATGACTGCAAGTTCTTCAAAATATTTTTCTTTTCTCTCCCCTACTTTAGGCAGTCTCTGTCTTTTTTTCTTCACTATACACTGATCTTACCCACACTATGACCAATTTTGTTTATTTGCTGTGAACCAAAGGTAGACTTGCATTTTTTCTATATGTTGCTGGTATTTTAACTTCAGGTCATCTAACCAGTTTGCCCCATGCTTGATAGTTGATAGACTACACAAAGCAGAAAGTTAATGAAACAAGTGATGTTTTCCTTCACTATTTAATATATGTCCCTGGAACAATTGGGGCATTGTAGCACATTCCTCCAGTCCCTCA